CCAAAGGCGTTCCCTCAGAAATACATGGACACATGGGGCTGGTGAGATGGCTCAGTGGTCTAAAGCACCTACTTAGAACAAGCTTAGCTAAAGCTACAGGGACCGCGGTTCAATCCCCCAGCACCACATGCAAGCCAGCCCCGCCCCCTGATGGGCTGAGCTGGCCACACACACACACACACACACACACACACATAAATAAAAAAAATAAAAAAAGAAATACATGGACACAAACTCCTCAGCACTGACCTTCAAGATAAGCCACTGTGAACAGGAAGAAATGCTGTTTTGTCAAGAAAAAAAGTGTATTCATTTATGCCTGAATTCAGTATTTGTTATATCATTTTTCAACTGGGGAACTAAGTTCATCAACAATAATGTTTTTTAAAGACTCTGTTGTGTTGTATAATCCCAGTTTTATAGTGTCCAGAAAAGGCAAATCCATAAAAACAACATAAAGTAGTGGTTGGCAGAAGGTAGAGGAGGAGGCACAACTGGGAGTGACTTCTATTGGGTATTCAGCACTAAAATATTTTGTAAAAATTAGCTCTAGCATATTTTGTTTTGTTTGCTTTAAGATTTATCAGTATTAGGGGGCCTGCCCCTTAGCTCAGTTCTTCACCAAAGCAGTCAGGCTCAGGTTGCTGTGGTTCGATTCCCACAACTCAAGCCAGCCAAACCTGCCCTGAAGGCATTCGGAGCAAAAAAAAAAAAAAAAAAAAAAAAGATTTATCAGTATTAGAGCTTGAAGCTACAGCCTTATGCATAACTAGGTAAGTGGTCTCCTACTGAGCTACACCCCAGCCCTCATGAGATTTTATTCTGAGACAAGACTGGTCTTAAATTTATAATTCTCCTGCCTCAGACTTCTGCATAGTTGAGATTACAGGGGTACACCACCAAGCTTAGTTAGCATAAGCTTTTGTTGTTGTTGTTTTGTGGTACCAGGGATCAAACTCAGGACCTTGCGCTTGCCAGGCAGGTGCTTATGCCACTGAGCTATTTCCCCAGCCCTTTTTTTGTCTTTTTGAGACAGGATCTTGCTAAACAGTTCGGGCTGGCCTTGAGCTCACTTTATAGCCCAGCCTGGTCTCAAACTCACAATAATCTTCCTGCCTCAGCCTCCAGAGTGCTTGGATTACAGGCGTGCGCCTGGAAAGCAAGCTTTTGATGTATTTCTTATGAAATTTAGACAAATCAATACCAAGTTCTGGGGCTTGCCCCTTAGCTCAGTTGTTTAAGTGGCTGCTTCAACAAAGCAGTCAGGCTCAGGTTGCTGTGGTTCGATCCCCACAACACAAGACAGCCAGTCATGCCTTGAAGGCATTCGGCGCAAAAAAAAAAAAACCCACTTCTGCCATTAACTAAGAAGAATATATGTAGTGTATTATTTGTTGAAACTGTACTTCCGATTAGATTTGAAACTGTCTCATTGCTGTTTATCAATAAAACTTAAAAAAAATACCAAGTTCTAATAATCCACTGATCTATGCAGCCTACAGTTACCACACACATTTTTCTAGGCCCAATTTAATAAAAGGTTCTGGGAGGTTCAGGAAAACAAAGTCAATAATACACAAACCCGGGTATCACAATAATAAGAAAAGAGGACTCATGGGAAGTGGATGTGGCTTTCCTTCATTGCCTTGTTGTGTTGTTTCTCAGAGGATGTAGTTTAGGTTTACATTTATGTCATTATGGACAATTATCACTTCCACAGAAAGCTATTTAGCATCGAATTATTTCTGATATTGCACTGAGTGCTGTAGGTGTCATGAGTCAGATATACTTGTGTCCCTTTGGAGTAATTTGCAATCTTACAGAGATGACTACACAGGAAGTCATATGAAGTCATTTTAATTTAAAAAATAATTTAGTAAATCAATATACAAACATCAGATTAAATGTTACCATGCTTGAGTGAAATATATACCACACAATTTTTGGGTAAAGTATAGGTGATAACAATTGATGCTTCTTTAAAGTTAAGTCTGGAAAGTGATTCTCTCAGAAATCATTTGAATGAAGAAAGAGACAACACGAAGTCTTCAGAGGGGGAAAGGAAGGCAATTCCAAGTGTATGCCTCAAGAGGGCTAGATGCTTGGACTCAGAACTTGCTCCTCTGCTTGCTGGTTGCTTAACTTCATGCTCAACTGATTTAACCTTAGTTTCTTCTTTTGTAAAGTGAGAATAAGGGCAAAAGGGTTGTTTTGAAACTGAAATCATACAGGAGGAAACGAAGTTACACAAGGCATTATCTAACTCAAAGGGGATTTTACATAAATGGCAGTAATCCTTAGTGTTAGAAAATCCTTGTAAGTAGAGGAGAAAAGCTGGACATGGTGGCACACGCCTGTAATTCCAACACTTAGGAGCCAGAAGCATTGTTGCAAGTTCAGGGTCAGCCCAGGCTACTGAGCGAGTTTGAGGCCAGCCTGAACTACACTGTGAGACTTGGTCTCATGCAAAACAAGAAGTAGAGGAGACTGAGCACCTGCCTGGCAAGCGCAAGGACCTGGGTTCCATCCTGTCTCGGTTACTCTTCTCTTATTGCTGGGACAAAATACCCAACACCCAAAATGAAAGAAGAAAGGTTTATTTAGTTCACAGTCAGTGGAGGTTTCAGTCTATACTCAGCTGGCCCCAAGGCAGAGTGACACATGGAAGGGAGTAACCATTCATGGTGGCAGCAAAGAGCAGAGAGCAAAAGCAAATAAGAATAGCAGCAACGGCAACAGAGAGCAAATCTATCTCCCATATGCTGCATTCAGGCTGTCTGTGCCGGGCCAGGTGAAGCACTCACAGCCGTAATCCCAGAAGCATTTACACCCATGACCCCAGCAGCACTCACACCCATAATCCCTGCACTGGATCATGAATTAACCACAAAGTCTAGAAGTCTGCCTCATGATTGCATGAGGCTTTGGGGGGGGGGGGACAACTAGACATGAACCATAACAGATTCCCAGTACCACATGCCGTGCTGGCCACCGAGCCCTGGCATGGTGGCGCACACCTTCCATCCCAGTGCTGGCAGGCTGAGACAGGAGGATCACTACGAGTCTGAGCTGCACAGGGAGACCCTGTACCAAATAATTTTTTTTTTTTTTTAAAGTGGAGGAGAGGGGCTGGGGAGATAGCTCAGTGGAATAAGCGCTTGCCTGGCAAGTGCAAGGGCCTGAGTTCAATCCTCAGTTCCAAAAAAAAAAAAGAAAGAAAAAAAAAGTGGAGGAGAAACAAGATTAAAATATACTTGTAAATCTTCTACTCATTCCTTGAAATTTGGGGACAGAAACGTTTTCTAAGGAGAAAAATCACACTTATTACGAAGGAATTCACTAACTCTAGAAACAAGCCAGAACTAGTTTAACACTGAAGGGTTTTTATTTTAGTTTTAGTACTTTGAAAGACTTTTTTAAAAATCAAGTTTTATAATACTGTTATTTTCTATTACTTTTAGTCTGAACATTTTCTTATTCATCTATTGGTTCAAATTATTATTTTTATTTTTATGAGCAGAATATATTTATTGAGGGAAAGAAAGCTTCTGAGAGATGGTCAAGAGGGGGCCTGAGCGAGTGGTTCCTGGGAAGCTGTCTCCTCCAGCGACTTTTATAGAAGAAAACCATGTGGTGAGGTGGGTCTAAAGTGAAGACATGGGAACTCACTTAGGTGGGCATGAGGTGGGACAAAGCTATAGTCAACCAATGAGATCATAAGCACTATTTGATCAGGTAAAATTGATTAAATCCAGTACCAAATGCGGAAGCGCGGGTGTGAATATAGGACAGGGTTTCTTCCAGTTGGGGGTTGGGTTAGTGACTCATTTGGGCTCTTTCAAAGTGATTGATACCTATTTAGAATATCAATCCCTGATGTCCATCCCTAGGGAAGTAGGTTCAAATTATTATAACAAAAAGTTATTGCAGGTCTCTCTCCATACATGACAGAAAAAAAGATGAGCTCCAGACTGTAATTCTGCCTCAACAGGCTGAGGCAGGAGGATTTCCCATGTAGGGCTAGCCAGGCCACAAAGCAAGTTCAAGGCTAGTGTGTACTATATAGTGAGGCTTCCATCTCAAAAATTAATTCCTGCCTGCAATTGCAAGTCCAGCGTGGTGGCACAAGTCTACACCACCAGGCCTCCTACACGCTGAGGTGCTAGGATTACAAATTTCAAGCCCAGCCTGGACAACTTAGTGATTTTTTTCTAGATCCTGTCTCATAATTTGAAAAAACTATAAATAGGCTGGGGCTGTAGCTCAGCGAAAACCTTGGCTCAGTCCCAGTCCCCCTCCCTCCCGCATCCGCGCCTAATTCTAACCAGAGGCTTCTATCCAGACACCTTCCCAAGAAGTGAGCTCCTTGCCAGTCACCCTGTAGGTCCTCCATTCCATGCCTTATGACGCACTATCAGGCCCCACACGAATGCAGTGTGAACAGCAGTTCTTACACGTGTCTGCTGAATTCTCTCAGGATCTGAGACCTCTGGCAGTCTAAAGTCGACCTGGGAATAAGGTTTATTCAATCTACTCATTAATGAAATAGAGAAATCGACCCACATTCACTAATCCACTTTGAGGAATTTGGAATGCACTGTGAAAAGAAAATCTACATCCTGTCACAGACGCACAAGCGGCGCAGGAAGTCCAGCACTCCTAAGCGGCCGGTTCAACCGCATCAGCGCTCGGGGCGAGCCATCCGCAAGGCAAGGGACAGGCCGGCCGGCCCGTCAGCGTACTTTCCCAACTGGCGGCTCGCGGGGTCCACAACACGAATCAAATCCTCCAAGGACGGCTGCGTGTGAACTCGGGGGCCCGGCTGAACACCTCGCTCTCGGGTCCAGGCGGCAGCGGGGCCACGAAGCACCCCGGGAGAACGCCGCCGGGCCGGACGTCGCGCCTGCGCCTGCGCCTGCGCCTGCGCGGTGGGCTGGGGGGGGGGGGCGCACGTCGTCGCGCGGCCCGGCCGCCCCTCACTCCGGTCAAATCGCGCGAGATCTCCCACCGCGACCTCAGACTCTGAGAAGGTGAAGCGAGTCGCCCGCGGCTCGGCTGCGGCGCCAAAGCTGGGTAAAGCTCGCGCGATAGGCGAGGAAAATTCAAATTAGAGTGAGCTCCCAGCTTCCCCTGGAGGTGCGGGCGACCCCAGGCTTACTACCTAGGACCCTAGGAGAGGGAATGCTGAGGAGAAGGCGGTTCGCTGGCTTGTCAGGCTAAACCTCAGGGGTGGACGTTGTCGTACTTGAGGCGCCCTTGGGGCTGTCGCGTAGCCCGTGTGACAGGTTAGCACCTACTCTGTGCCGGGTGAGGAGGTGGACTGGATTCCGCGCGGCGCCGACGCAAGCCTGTGTCGCGTCTGTGCCCACGACCTAGAAAGTCAGTTTGAAAGTCTGAACTAGAGGCGCAGGTTGTTCGTTCTGCGGTTGACCGGGGAAGGCTCCCAGGAAGGCGAGGGCGCCGAGGGAGGGAAGCGCCCTGCGGGAGTTCGCGCGTGGGAGCCTGGGGAGAGAGACCGGTCAGGACCCGCCGAGGGGCCGAGTGACGCGCTCGGGCGGGAACGGGGACGCGTATTGGTAGGCGACAGTGGAGGCCGCGGCTGCGGCGGAGCACCTCGGCGGAGTGCTTGCCTGGGACGCAGAGGCCCTGGGTGTGTGCTTCCCGGCTAGTACGTTCAGGCTGGCAAATGGTGCGGGAGTGTGGCTTCCAGCGTTCCATTACTCGCCCTCCTCTGTCCTCTCCACAGTATGCTTCAGGAAACAGGCTGAGCTGAGAGAAGGGACTTTTCTAAGGTTCCTCTTGGTTAGAACCAGGACTCTGAACTCTGCTTTCTTTTCCTGGTGCCATGACCTTTCCCTTATACAAGACTGCAAGGTAGGTTCTCAACATACTGTATGCCAGCACCAGGGAAGCTTTTTAGCTGATTATTCACCTGGTATTATTTTGGCATGTTACCTAGCACCAGTTAGGAATCCACTTAATGTCATACCTGAGAACTAGAAGTCAGATCTTGAACTTGGCATATCTTATTTTAAATAGTAATTTTGTGATAAATCAAGTTCTTTGTACTTTTAGTGTGTTGCTTGTACTTTTAGTGTGTTGCTTGTTGTGCTATTGAGCACTGTTGCAGTTATCTGCATTAATTAATTGTATTCGGCACTTGAAAATTTTGTAATACAGAGGGAGAGAACTGTCATAGTGTACTTTCCATTCTAATAAGCAGTATCTGGAGAAATTTGCAATTATATGTACTTTAAAGAAATAAAACATACTGTTGTGTTTTTTTTTTCTCGGAACGGCCATTGAACTCAGGCCCTTACACTTGCCAGGGAAGCGCTTATTCTACTGAACCATCTCCCTGGCCCCATATACTGTTGAAATTAGAGAAGAGGACAAATATAAAACCTCTTTTGGAAAGATCCTTTGGATTAAAAATGTCATCGTAGTGTAATAACCAATATTGATGGTTTATAAGCACTTTATTTGTTTTATTAAAATTTAAAAAAAAATTTTATTTATTTGTGTGTGTGTGGCCAGCTCAGTCCACCAGGGGGTGGGGCTGGCTGGCATGTGGTGCTGGGGGATTGAACCGCGGTCCCTGTGCTTTGCTAAGCTTGTTCTAAGTAGGTGCTTTAGACCACTGAGCCATCTCAAAAACTTTGCTTTGTAACTCTTATATAACATAGTAATTCACTAGACATGTTCCCTGTGGATTTCATAATGTGATGAAATAGGGTGCACATATCATGACCTTTAAGGATTCCTGTTGCAAATAATCGGAACAGAATCTAGTGAAGCCCCCCGCATTACAATGCATGCCTATAATCCTAGCACTCAGGAGACTGAAGTAAGAAGAAGGCTGAGAGTTCAAGGCCAGCCTGAATTACAAAGCGAGATCCCATCTCTCTCTCTCTCTCTCTTTTTTTTTTTTTTTTTTTTTTTTTTTTTTTTTTTTTTTTTGCTGAACCAGGGATTGAACTCAGGCCCTTGTGCTTGCCAGGGAAGCACTTATTCTGCTGAGCTATCTCCCCAGCCCCTAGAGACCCTGTCTCTTTGTTTTTTGAGACAAGTGTTGCTATGTAGCCCAGGCTGGCCTCAAACTGACAGTAATCTTCCTGCTTCAGCCTCCTGAGTGCTGGGATTACAGGTGTGTGCTACCACACCCAAGGAGACCCTGTCTCAAAAAACGAAACAAAACAACAAAAATCAAGCCCCCAGAACTATGCAGCCAGTCAAAAGTATGGGGAGGTGATAAAAAACCAAAGCAAATAATTCTTTATAATGAAGCAATCAGAGGACATTCTGTAAACAAAGGAATGAAGAAACCAGGCAGTGAAATAACACAGATTCAAAATGTAGCTTGTGAATTTTGAATCCTGAATCCAATGAATATGCACTGGGTGTTACAGTGTATATTAGGCATAATAGTGTAATCTCTTATCAGAAGTGCTTGCCTGAAGGATTTTTGGGGTATAATGGGATGATTCTAGGATTTGCTGGGGGTTTTTGAAGGGGGATTTTTTTTTTAATATTTATTTATTTTTATTTATTACATTTATTTATTGTGTGTGTGTGTGTGGCCAGCTCAGCCCACCAGGGGGCAGGGCTGGCTGGCATGTGGTGCTGGGGATCGAACTGCGGTCCCTGTGCTTTGCCAAGCTTGTTTCAAGTAGGTGCTTTAGACCACTGAGCCATCTCTCCAGCCCCCGGGGGATTTGTTTTAAGGGAAAGCTGGAAAATATAGTTTTATCTGAACAACACCGTGCTCAGAAGCAAAGAACGGGTGTTGAGGCCTCCTAGCCATGTTTGGCACAACTAGTGAGAACTAAATATATCCATGATAAATTTTTAAAAAAATTTTTATTTTAGGGGCTGGCGAGATGGCTCAGTGGTCTAAAGCACCTACTTGGAACAAGCTTGGCAGAGCACAAGGACCACGGTTCAATCCCCCAGCACCACATGCCAGCCAGCCCCGCCCCCTGGTGGGCTGAGCTGGCCACACACACACACACACTAAATAAATAAATAAATAAATGTTTTAAAAAAAAATTTATTTTATTTTTGTATTTTAGGGAAGGGTCTACAGAGTGTTCAGGGTCTCACTACTAGATCAGATTTGTAGTGATCTGCCTGTTTACAGCCTCCCAACAGCTGGGATTACAGGTGCACCACCACGCCCAGTCTCAATTGCTGTTTTAGCACACGCAGGTTGGCACGGCAGGCCCGGAGATTGAACTCCGGCTACTGCACCTGCTTGCAGGCTCTTTAATCCGTTGAGCTATTTGGCTGGCCCTTCCGTTATATAATGAAGCAAATAAGATGCATTTCTGTATTCTTCATTCTGTTTACTGGCTGTCACCAGCATGGTTCTTTTTGGGGGAGGGGGTGCTGGGGAGCTGTTACAGTTTGTGTCTAGATCACCCCATAATGCTTCATGTGGTCATTGGTGGGGCTTTTTCAGAGATGGCTGGATCTAGAGTGTGTGACACTGGGATTAATTCATGGTGCAATGCTAGGATCAAGGGCTTGAGATTAAGGATGTGAGTGCTATCCTCCCTACGTAGCCTGGATAAGTTATAAGGGATAGTTAGAGCTATGGTCATCCCTTGCTTGCTTGTTGTTTTGCTACCTTCTGCCTGCCATGAACTGTTTCTCCCCTAGAATGGCACTCTGCCTTGGAGTCAGCTGATTATGGACTGAAACCTCCACAAACTGTGAGCTAAGTAAACCTTTTTTGCTTTAACTTTGGGTGTCAGGTACTTTGTCTCAACAATGAAGGAGAAGTAACTAAGACAGGATCAAACCAAGAGCTTCATAAATGCCATGTAAGCATTTCACTGCTGGGCTACACCACCCAGACCCAGACATTTACAGTAGGTTTATTTATTTTATTATTTTTTTTTCTTTTTGAGATAGGGTCTTCCTATGCAGGTCTAGCTGGTCTTGAGCTCACTTTGTAGCCCAGGCTGGTCTCAAACTCTCAATGATCCTCCTGCTTCAGCCCCCTGAGTGCTGGAATTATAGGCATGCACCACCACACCCAGTTACAATAGTTCTTAACCAATAGAACTATGTTCTAGGATAGTGTATCTGCAGGAGAGTTGACAAGTCACTGTGGTTCTATGTAAAATCCTGTTTGGGGTAGAAAATGTGAAGAAATATGAGATATGGAATGAGGATATTTGTGTTTCAATCCCAGCTGCTCTTCTTATCTGCATTGTGATTTTTGGGCACAAATCCTAGTTCAACTTCTTTTGTAAAAAAGAGAATAATAAGGGCCAAACAAATAGGTGGTGGTGGGGAGGGAGATGGCTTAGTGGAATAAGCCCTTCACTGGCAAGCGCAAGGGCCTGAGTTCAATCCCTCCTTCTGGCAAACAAAAACAAAAGACAAATAGCTCAGCGGATTAAAGCGCCTGCAAGCAGGTACAGGGGCCAGGGTTCAATCCCCATGCCTGCCGTGCCACCCTGCCCGTGCCCCTGGGGTGTGGTGGCACATACTTGTTATCCCAGCTCTTAGGAGGCTGTAAACAGGTGGATCACTATGAGTCCAATCTAGTAGTGAGATCCTGAACACCCTGTAGACCCTTCCCTAAAAGTATAGAAAAAAAAAAAAAGAATAATAGTAGGCAGTGGTGTCCCCATACCCACTGTGGATTGGTTCTGGAATCCCTCTGGATAGCATCAGTCCCTTATATAAAATGGAGCAGGAGCAATAGTTACACATAAACCCCACATATCTTCTTTAAATCATCTCTAGATTTCTTATAATACCAAATGCAGTACAATATAAATGCTATGTAAGTAGTTGTATTATTTAGAAAATAATAAAACAGTTGTACATGTTCCAAACAGACTAAATACTCTTTCAAACTATTCTCAGTGTACAGTTGGTTGAATCTGAAGATGTGACCTTAAGAATATGGGGCCCTGGCTGTATTTGCATATATAATTTTGTTACAAAGAATAAGTGACAGCATCTTTGTGAAAGTCCTCTGTAAACTAATCATCTCCATATAAGCCATATGTTTAACAAGATTTGAAAAAGAAAAAGATGTGCATCCCATAGTGCCAGCTACTTGTGAGAG